CTGGAAAGAAAATAACTAAAGTACTGATCTTTCTTGCGTATATTTACCTTAATTATATCTAACTCCGCCTCAACCGAAAAAAAAGGAAAATTGAAAAAAAAGAAAAAAAAAGCTAGACCCGACTCCTCCACATAAAAAAATGAAAAATGCAACATGAAAGACGTTGGCTAAAAAAAGGGCAACAAAGTAGAGAAATCAATGAAGATTTTTGTAATAATAACAATGATGATTGGCACAGTGGTTTATTATTTCTGAGGCTTAGTCGAACCTAACTTCCGGTTCAGTCAAAAATACTCCACGTTGTCTTGGAGACATGTCGATATTACGTCAAACATCACCTGTGAAGCAGGTCACTTGTATTGTTTGAAAGGAAGAAAGACTTTCATGGCATTTCCTTTCAGGAAGTTCTCAGGAAGAAGACGAAATTCAGTACTACAAGAGAGATGTCTGTCTGCAAAAAGCATGCAACAGACAAAACGCAACATCATAGCTTATTAATTGTTTACGACAGAAAATCTATTAAGTCATCGACTCCACTTTCATTTGTAACTTTTGCGCTTCGGAGATGCTTCACGATACAACGACACTGTTCAAGATGGAAAGTTAATCCTTCACGCCAGTTGTGATGGGCAAAATGAAAGCTTGTTTCCGGTATATGGAGATTGTAATGATCAGTGGAAAACAAGGCGGGATTCATGAATCAACCAGTGACAATGAAATATCCTTCTTCAACAGAAGGATACTTGATTCACTCAAAAAGTTTTAAAATTTTAAGTGTTTTCTTTTCTGTCCTTACTTAGGAAAGAGAGATCGAGATGCATGTCCCAAATTAGCCCAACATATTAAGAGCTGTCATTCAGATCTCATTGGATAATAATTTTCTCCTTCTTGAATTTCCCTCTAATTTACCCGCTAAACCAATTTCACTTTTGACTACAGTGGCCTGCTAGCCTTTCAAAGTTTAGATAAATTTTCACTTATTCACCAATCAATATACAAATAAACTAAGAGCGGTGCCAATTTGTAAAAGTGCTTTGTAACTCAGTTAATTAATTACATGCTTACCAGCCTAATCTTAAATGCAAACATACTGCCTGCTATGAAAGGACCAAAGTACGGAGAATTGAAAATTCTCTTTTTTGAAGCAAAACTTCTGTTCGGATCGCAGTTAAAAATAAGACAGTTGTCCACCATAGGGTGTTGCGAGGGGCTTTCTGATAATATATTTGCCCACTCGTGGACTCCCGACTAATTAAGGCGGGAATATTTCAACTAAGATCTGTGCTTCTGCGAATCACTTCACGACAAAAATGAAATTGCAAATAATCAAATTAGAAGAGAACATGACAAAATGAGTGGCATGTGTGGACCAAGGAAATAAACTGCCGAATGAGGCAGGCGTTTATTCAATCGGGGTGTTACCGTACATGCAATGTACATACAGAACTGTAAATAAAAACTGTATCAGGCTCACCTACCAATCGCCACTGGAGGATGTTTTCCTTGACTTTAAGTTAGAGGCGTTCACTTGCTAAACCACGTGGTCGGCCCTAAGATATTTTTTGAGAAAGGTGCATTCGCTCGAGGAAATAAGAAATCGCAGAGATCATAACGCGAGGGCCGAAATGATCTCAACGCCGAGCGCCAGCCATAGCTCGGCGACAGAATGTTTTGAGCAACATCAAAATGAATATCTACATCATTTCCTGTACTGTTGTTCGCGTGACTCCCGGGGGACCTACTGTTTTTGAAAGCCAATGAAATGAGGGTAAATCCAACTCATGCCTTTCTTGTAAATTTTCGCGTTTGTGGTTTGAATTTAACTCTGCAGAGGAGAAGGTACTTTTATCGATGTAGTGTTGCTGTAATGTACCGCCGGAGATGATACATAAACAAAATCATTTACCTTTCGAGAATATGAAACACGCAGACTACGATCGAACTGACACAACTGGATGATCAACGACGGAGCCCCGGGGGGAGAGAAGCATGATGACCTATTATTATTTTATTTTTTCTGAATGATCTTTGATCTATATAAGCAGGAGCCTATTTGGGCAAGTACCGCCGGTGATAGGGGTTCAGTCCCCGTGACTTTGTGTTCCTACATGTATTGATATCCTTCAACAGGGTTCGTTATTAAGTCAGTATTTTTCAAATGACAGGTCGTTCCATGCAATGGAATCCGTATTCCGGAATCCGTGAAATTTTTGCTTGTGGAATCCGGAATCCTGGGCTATGGAATCTGGAATACATCTAAAGGAATCAGGGATCCTACTAAGGATCAGGGGCACCCAACGTCAATTTTCGAAAAATATCTGTTCGAAAGACGATTTGAGATCTAGAATTTTCGGGACATTTGTTGTAAAATTTCTTGCTTGCCTCCCTCTCCTAGGATTTTCGAACATCTAAAAAAATGGCATAATTGCCCATTTTTTTTCTGGCTGTTATTTTCCAAAGCTACATTTTGATCCCTATAATTTTCGGATCACTAGACTTTCAGCTAGGAAATCCGAACAGATGAAAAATTTTTAGGGGATAAAAATGTACCTATATCTACCGTTTAAATGCAAAAATACGTTTAACAATACTATGTTTAAGTGGTTTTGAACTATATTCTCGTTGGGTGCCCCTTAAGGATTGGAATCCAGGATTCAAGTTCCACTGACAAAGACTGGAATCAAGAACCTGAAATCCGAAATCCACGGCGTGAAATCCAGAATGAAGACTGTCTTGGCCTGCCCTTACATGGGGCTTGACAAGGAGGCAGGGTCAAGGTTCTCTTAGAAGCAATACCTAAAACGGAACTACCCACAAAAAGTAAAAACGTTTACTTAAAGCCTGCACAGACAATCCAAGGTTATCGATTGTACTTTTTAAACCCTTTAAACATTGATATCAAAATTGAGATTCTCATTTTCTGTCGTTATAATTTTTGAATAGAAGTAGTGGGGAGAATTTGGTGAAATATCAATTAGACTCATCTTCCCTGCGTCATGTACTCAATTCTCATGACCACTCTGTTTTCTAAAGCATTGATATTATACGGAGAAATTTCACGCTGATCACTTTTAGGGCTTAAAGGGTTAAACATGAAGTCAGTAATTGTTTGGTTTTGCACCTTGGAAAGGGTATCGACAGACAATTTTTTTCTTAAAAAGGTCAGAGTTAAAAACCTTTCCTGTGGGGGGGCATGGGCGTTTATGGTATCGCAGTATTGAGCTTCTTTCAAACGGTATTTCGGTAATTTTGATTTAAACGTACAGTACTGCGGTATCATTTAGCCCCGCATGCGGTGTTTTTATCCTTTTGCCTAACCGTATTTGGTAAACTGAAGAGGATCCTTCAAAGTATTGTGAAACTGTTCATTGCGCTCTCCCGTCTAATGTAAGTCAGTAGTTTTAAGACTTGACTAATGGTAAATAAATACACAATTTCTGACAGTTAATCTATGCATCCTTTTCGATCATTGTACCGATCAATTCGAGGTCTTCTCACGTTTCCTCGCAATGGCTGAGGTTGATTTTCGGTGTATACATGCTTGAGATAAACAAACACTCGAGATGGATACAATTTAAGTAAGCGTTTCGATCATAAGTGCGGTATCGGTATTCCGTCGATTTTGGACATGGTATTTCGGTATTTGCCAATTTCTCTTACGGTATTACGATACTGGGTACCCCCCAATGTCCCCCTCCTTCCTGACAAAAACCATTTCTAAACTAATAGGATCACATCACGGCCTTCATAACCTCGGATTTACAGTGTGGCTCTTGAAGCTAATATCCCCGAGAAAGAAGAAAACAAATAATAAATTATAGTCAAAATAATCCGAAAAGAAAAGAAATAGAAAATAGAAGATAACAAAACTGATAAGAGGAAATACAGAATAAAAAGAAAAAGAATTTAACTACCTATTACTTGTAATAATATATTAGTTTAAACGAAATTTTTCGCACTCTGAATTTGGATTCCCTAAGTAATGCCGTAGACCTCAGGTCCTCAGGGAGTCCACTTCACGCTCCGGCATTTGTGCCATCAAGAGCCATAATTAAAACAACCGAGGGCTACTAAAAAAACAAAGTTTGCATCCTATATTCAGTTTACACTCTTAGCTTCTCGTCGTCATCAATTCCCTGCTAGCAAAAGGCTTCTACTAGCAGGGAACTTCACAAACAAGTTTTTTCTACAGGAGATAAAAGTCTCAAAGCTTTGTTATAATCTATGCACGGTCCACTGTAATTTACTACCTTATTTAAACACCTTTAACCCTACTGGCTTATTCTACAATCGCTCCTCAAGGGAATTTAATCAACAGACAACCATAACAACCACTATTTGTAACTAGTGGTACTCTGTTGTCTTACGATACAATTGACGTCACCAAAAAATTCGTTAGAAATGAAAATTACTGATTATACTTCCATTGTTTTGAAAACAAAATTTGGTTAAACTTAAAAATTTAAGATTACATTTGGCCAAATAAAATGAAACACAGCTGTAAAATACGCCATTTACGATTGGTAACTGGCCAACGCCTGTCTTTTCGAATTTTAACTGCTGCCCAGTGCAGTGATACATTAGGGAGCTTGTAAACGGTAAAAATGGTCTTCAAATTTATTGGTGAACCTACGTCTTAATTGTGTATACAGCTATTTCGAGAAAGGTTGTCGGAAAAAATGTGCACGCGACAATCCCGAAAGGTAATATGGGATATGATCGATACACTGTTTCTGACGACTGTAGCTGTCGAACCTACTTTTGTTCCTTTCCGTTAACGCTCGCAAACACATTTTCATGGCCTTTCGTACCAATTCTTTCAAATTTCGCTGAAGAACAGTGAACTCAAAACCACCCATAATGCCTTTCAGGATTTTCGCGTGCACGTTTTCCGACATCCTTTCTGGAAACAGCTGTATATGTCATTGCCATGAACTGCATTGTCAATGAATAACCTTACAACAGTGCATCGTCAAATCAAAACTCTTCTTGTGTTGAATTTATGAGATCATCCACGACATCCATCCACCGCAGCCTCCACAACCACCACAACAACCACAACCACCACAACCACCACAACCACCACAACCACCACAACCACCACAACCACCACAACCACCACAACCACCACAACCACCACAACCACCACAACCACCACAACCACCACAGCCTCCACAACCACCACAACCACCACAATCTCCGCATCCACCACAACCACAACAGCCTCCACATCCACCACAACCTCCACAGCCACCACAGCCACCAAAGCCACAAAGCCATCACAACCACCACAGCCACCACAGCCACAACAGCCGCTACAGCTACCACAGAAACAAAGGGGACTGACTTGATACCTCTTCGAGCAACCAACTCTGAATCATTACTACTTTTGTCGAATAATACTCAAACCGATCGCCTAAGAGAGTCTGACTGTATTCAAGCTGGAGGAAGTACTTTGAGGATTTATTAAACGCTTCATGGTCCTGGCTTTCAGTTAAACCTGCTACCTTATTTCAGACCTTTCAAACTTCCGAATTCGACAGGCTTTCCTAGGCGATACCCCAAACTTCAAGGCCTGATTCCAGAGTAGCTTTTGTGTCCCTGCTAATCTTATACATGATCGGAGAAACTTTGAATTTCGTCCTAGATCAATCACCACATCCGCCACAACCTCCACATCCACCACATCCACTGCACCCACCGCATCCACCACAGCCGCCACAGCCGCCACAGCCACCACAGCCACCACAACCACCACCACCACCACCACCACAAGCGCCACCTCCAACTGTGAACTTGATGAACGAGTTTGTTGGTACATAGTTGGCATGATAACCAGCAGCCACTACAAGCAACAGGTCTTCGTTGTGTATTCTGCGTGGTTTCTCGATCTGGGCATTTTCACCGACTGAAGGTGCAGTATAGCAGCCATTGTTCCCTTCTGGCGAGTAATAAGGTTGGCAGAGAAGGTGAAGAATGGCAATTGAAAACCCAAGTGCAATCGCCTCGGGAACATCTTGCACCTCTGCTGGAAATGAAATTACACCAGTTTTTAGGTCAACATTAATCTTCTTCCTCTTTCCCAGAAGATATATGGAAAACTGGTTTCCGCATTTCTCAACTCGTTTCCACTCCTGCTTTTCAGTCAGGGAGAAGAACTTGACCGACAGACTTCCGGGCTGGCCTCTTGTTCCTGGCTTTCCCCTTATACCTGGTATTCCCTTGATAGCTGGTGTTTCGCAAGTACCTGGTGTTCCTTTAGTTCCACTGACACCAGGTACACCAGGAACGCCTTTGACAACACCCTGCCATTTGCCGATGCAAATACCCCAGTCCTTGCTTCCTCTTATAAGCATAGCTCTTTCTCCTTCCTGCACGTCCAAAGTGCAGCATTTGTCTGGCTTTCTGACCTGACCACGCTTGGGAAGAACGTTTTCCCGGATTAGATACGCCACACCAACAACTCTTTGGGCTTTGTTGATAACCTGAACACACGAGAGCTGCAGTACTGCGGAGTGTATTACTCGACATCCAAACGCTGGTCGTCCGCGGGAATCGAACAACAAATGGACTGACATTTCGCATGGTGCCGTCGCTGATTGAACTAAGGAGACTGGTGAAAGAATTAACGTCGGGGACCTTAAAATTTGAGCGGGATTTTCCACATTGCTGAATAGCTTTTGTGGTCTCACTTTGAAGGAGTAACCATCCTGTTTGGGTGGATGAGCTACGGTGGTAACTCGAACGTACTGATTATGATCAGGCATCTGCAACTCGTGGGTGACTGATTGAAGCCTTAAAGGAACGCGATCAAGGTACTCCAGAAACTGGGAGTACCTAGCGCTGGCGTGGTAAGGTGAGGAGCAAGGCAGTTTTCGGTAAATCAGCACCTATTTTCAAAAGGGATTAAAAGGGTTGGCAATGATACTCAATGTAACATTTAAAACATGACATAGCCGGACCAGGCTCAGCAGTGAGGGCAAAAGACAAAAAACAAAAATATAGGAAAAATATTTTTGCTCGCCGATTTTTTCAGTTCTTTTTTCCCCCAATGTGGAGCCTGGTCCCAGGCTAAACACAACATTGCTTTTATGTATTAAGAAAGAAACAATAATCATCATCCTTATTGTCATTACCCAGGGGTATAGATTCTTTAGACATAACCTAAGAACTTCGTTCCAGTCTGAGTGCCCATTCTTTCAACCGTGGAAAGTTTTCTATGAGCGATGTCATACGACGTTGAAAACTGGTTTACGAAAACTTATATTCCTTTCATTAGAAGCGATTTTTCAAAATTAAACTTTCGCTTGTACCCTTTCTTAAACTAGGCGCCAAATTCTGAATAAATCCACTACGGCATCATGCCCTCTCTGACAAAATCTTACCTTGAGTTCTTTGCTTTCCTTTGTGCTAAAAGTGAACTTAGCAACCGCTTTGGAACCATGAATTCTAGCAATGGGTCCTTTTACTTTCTTCTTAATGACTCGTTTACCGTTGATGACCTCGATTTCGACTGTGTATGATTTAGAGTTTGGAAGGCCTTCAACTTCAACACGAAGCAATTCCACAGTGTAAAGAAGTGACACCATTGAGGAGTACTCAGAAAGGTCTGGATTTATAACATTCCCAATGGGTGGCTCTCCACGAAACATGGCGCCATTTACCTCGAAAGATATACCAGCAGCTTTCCAAGTATCTCGCGTAGAGAGCTCTGATGAAAAAAGCTTCGACCCTGGTTGACGGTCATTTACTGAGTCGTCGTGGTTCAAGACCCTCCCAAGCAGTTTGAAGGTGTCATGTCTGTAGAGCAGCGGATTCACTTGATGGGCATGCCAGATAAGGTCAAAGTCATAGCATGGTACAAGAAAAGCATCTTGATTCTTTTGCTTGAAGAGCAGATGGTGCTTATACCTCTTAACTGCTTCACGCAAGAACGTCTTATCCGCGTAATGTGGCAGGGAAACTTGATAATAAAACACTCTTTGTCTTTGGCAAGCGCTCTTGATGTCATATTGAATTCTTGACTCGAAATCCTGCACACATGTGACAGGGGCATTCAAATCTACTTCAAATGGTTCTTTGGGGTACTTTTGTTTCCATAATGCTCTGGCTTTTTTTAGCCCCTTTTCTCGAGCTTTTCGTACAAGAATTCTGTGGTCGACTAAAACAGAGACTACTTCATTGCAGTCCCTTTCGTAACTGAGAGGTGAAAGCATGTGTACATGCCATACCCAAGCAATGTCTAGAGGCGCTGCTAGGTCCACAGAGGGGTGCTGAGCTAGCAAAGGAAGCCAGAACAGTTCATACCTAAAGATCAGACATACGAGAAAATGAGGTTAACTCGTGGGCCGAACAAGATGAGGAGTCTTTTAGAGGATTTTTAAGATATATTTCCCCTTATAAGCCCCCCCTGGTTATAGGCCCGTCTACTTGGAAACGAAAAAATTCATCCGGTTACAAGTCCCCTCCGGATATCAGCCCCCCTCTAGTTTTCCTTGTTTTCTTAATATTAAGTACTCTCGCAGAACCCTGTACTACTTCAAACACAAAATTAGGAAAGATTGCGGAACAATAACTCAAATACTGTATTGTTAACATTTCTGACAATAACAGCGAAGATGAAATCTGAGCTTCCGGTTTGTCGCGTTCCGGCTACGTTCACGTTGTTAACTTTTGATTTTGCTCCTGAAATTGAAATGCCTTCGATTTATAATGAAGCTTGAAAGTTTAATTAAAAATACGTATTTTCATCAACACTGCTGTTGCTCATTTCGAGACGTTTTTTTTATTCCGCTCATAAGCCTTCCCGGATATAAGCCGGCCCGTTTATAAAGCCCACCCAAAACCCCTTACGAAGTTGTATAAGCCAAGGGCTTATAATCGGAATTTTACGGTATTGCTGGCATTTTCAAATTTGCTTATGGTCAACGCCAGCTGGTTATGGTGATCTAGTCAAGGGATTGGCCGATCAGAAACGGCGCGCTATAGGAATAACAGTCATGCTTGGGTTTTTGAACAAGATGTCTTTTGTCACTCATACGTGTTAATTCGTGTTCTCAATATAGATTCGATTTGAAACACAGACGCGTACCTCCTGACAGCATTTTCAACATGTGGACCGATGTAAAGACATGGGTTCTCATCAACAAGCCCCAAGAACTGTCGGTGAGCGAGGGCAGCTTCCACTAGATCGATACTTATCATACCTTCGATTTCACGGAGATTTGGTGATTTCATACAGGCCATCTTCCTGCAATGTAAAAAATGCATTGGTATATAGAACAAAAATCTGAGTAGTTTTCGTTCATTATATAGTTGGATCAAAGAGAGAATATCGTCAACTCGAGGGAACGTTGTTTAGAAAATAATCAAATGGTTACCAACTCTGGTTTTCCCACATTAAACTGTAGGAAATGATAGAAATTCAGATGGTTTATCCATATACGTACTTAATATACTATCTTTTCTCTGCAAACACTTTCTGTCGCCACTAGTCACAAAACCTCTCTGGATTTCTAAAGAACCATTTGTGATGGACCACCGCTCTTCTGAAAATGACCGAGGATTGGAGAAGGAGCCTTAACAACAGAGTCAACCATGGCTTTTGAATCTATTAACCACAATCTTCTGTTTACAAAGTTGAAAGCCTATGGTCTCTCTCAATCCGCCTTGATTTTGATGACATCCGATCTACTGGGTCGTAAACAGAGGGTTTGTTTGCACGGTGTGTGCTGAAGTTATTCAGAGTTGAGGGCGGGGCTTCCACAAGGGTCCCTCCTCGGGCCACTGCTGATCAATATATTCATTAATGGCTTGAATTACGCCGTCCCGGACGTGTCTTTGAGAATATACGCTGATGACACGACTTTGTATGTATCAGATGTCTCGCCCATTGCCCTGCAATTTGTTTTGAACCAGGGTCTCCGCCGTCTGTCGGAGTGGTTCGATGCAAACTATTTGAGCAATGACAAGACGCAAGCCTTTCCGATCGGTCCTTGCATGTACGATCTTGACTTAACTTTGAATGGTTCTGACGTTAACAAACTTCCCTCTATTAGAATCCTGGGCGTCGAACTTGATAGCATGTTAAATTTTATAGAGCATATTTCTCGTCAGCTAAAAATGGCGTATGCGAAGACCGGCGCACTTAGGAGAATTACGCGTTTTGTATCTATGGACGTTATGCTAGCATTATACAAGTCTTTCATTTTACCGCATCTAGAATACTGTAGTCGCCTCCTGTTTGGGGTGGGGAAAGTCCAGGGCAATAAAATTGAAGACGCCAATCATTATATATTAAGGACATTGACGGGGCACGGGAAATCATTGTCTTACCAAGAACTCTTAAATATATGTAAGTTGGACACTTTAGAGTGTAGGAAAAAGCAGTGTTCTCTGATCGTATTATTTAAATGTATTAGGAATATAGGGCCGAAATAGATTACTGTAGAGACTTTTTTTTAGCATAAGAGAAACGTCTCACAATTTAAGAGGACGGTGTTAATCTTTGCGTTCCCAAATTTAATCTTAATTTTATGAGGAACTCTTTTACTTACAAGAGCGCTCAACTATGGAATAAACTTCCAGAAGATGTCAAGCTGAGATCAATTCGGCTGTAATTTCTATATTTTTATATATTTTTGTGTAATTTTTATATTCATGTGTACATGGATTATAGATTATATAAATTATTTAATTTTTTTATACTAGATATTATTATTGTAATTGTAGATTTACTGCACGTTCGTATTTGAACGAGCACTTGTGCTCTTAGACGATAACGTGGTTAAACAAATTATTGTATTGTATTGTATTGATACTTTTCTTGCTGTTTCTTGCACTTCATTAAATAAAAGTTATTATTATTCATTCAAAATATTTCCCCGATTCTGATTGGCTAAAAGCACACGTTTAATTCACCATAACCGGTTACTGATGACCAAATTTGGAAGAAATTTGACTTTAACGAGGAAATGACGTCAAAAATGCAGCGTTTTCGCAGGTTAAGGCACCGTTAACCGAGAAGACCTGGGGACGAGGTTGAGTTGTTTTGGTTGTGAACGACAGAGCTGAACAACGTCTGCGCATGTGCTTAGACGGGAGAGGTCTGGGATCTAACCTAGTATCGTTTTCAAAGGGTTTTTCAAAACATCCTCACTTTTTGGCGATTATTAAGGTGGATTCTGAATATTTAAGGTTCTCATTTAAACTAAAGGTAGATTATTTCATACTTTATTGAATTCTCGCTTCTACCCTTGTAATTTTTCCTCTACTTTTTTCTATGAACAAAAGAAGACGCACGAACGAAGCGTCCCTTCAATAATAGTAGTATCGTTTGCAAAGGGATTTTCAAAACATCCTCACATTTTCCCGATTTTTAAGGTGGTTTCTGAATATTCAAGGCTCCCATTTAAACTAAAGGTAGATTATTTCATACTTTACTGAATTCTCGTTTCTACCCTTGTAATTTTTCTTCTACTTTTTTCTATGAACAAAAGAAGATGCACGGACGAAGCCGAAAACAGTTCTTTCATTCGAATGTGTACATTTTCAAGCGTAAACACATGAAAGTACAGACTATCAATATGTTATCAGTTCTAAGAAATCGTCCGGACATCATATCAGTGTCAGTATTAAAGGTACATTTTATTTATCTTTGTTTTTCCTTGAATGATGGTCTTTTAGTTATTTCTCTTGTTATATCTCGCTTGGTTTCACTATAAGAACTGTAAGAACACAAAACAATCACTGAGGTTTCGAATTCAATCAAGTTCTTTCTTCCAAACTTGTTTCCCTTTATGACTCATTGTTAGCTCAGCTCAAAAGAGCTATTATAAATTTTTCTATACGACAACAGGCAAAATTAATGTTGAAAAGAGTAAATGGGTAAGTAATACAGTCGATGCTTGCTGGTAAAAGTATTAATGACTTGAAGTTCTCTAAAAGGCTTCATTACAGAGAGAAGAACTTTCATTTATTTTTCTCTTCAAAGTCTAGATCTTCATTCCTTGATTCTTCTGCTTCATTCAATCCTGTCATAAATGGAAAACCTATAGTTAATACGAAAACTCACATAGAGCTGAGCCAACTTGTGATTGTTTCTCAAAACTTCAACAGCTTTAAACTTTAAAAGTTTATTCATTCTAAGCTTAAAGGTGCAAATTAAATTTTAAACAAACTTAACTGAATAAATACTGATTCTACAGCTCGACCAGCGCCTCTAAGCCGGCTAGAGGTAGGAAAAAGCTTCTTTCATTGCACTAAGATTTGTAACTAAGTTTATGACTTTCATGACTTCTTGTGTCTGATGGTATCATCGCGCTCAAAGCCGGCTTTCTTGCCACCAAGAAACGGTCAGCAACTGCTATCGCTCGGCCTACATTTCAAAGATTTGCACCTCCTTAACCAGAATAAAGTAATGTTTAAGTAAATCGTTTACGTACCATCGAAGAAAAGTCGCCCAAACTCCAGCACATTGCTCTTTTTTAATTTCTCAGTCATCTTTCTGCAAACTTACTGACGATCTGCATCAAAACAATGAAAAACCTTCGCCGGGACGGTCAAAAACATTTTCCTTGATCCCTGGATTACGTAACATTTCTTTCCTTGAGTTGCATTTCTAACGTATTCGTAGAATTTCTCCTTCGTTGGCATTCGCAAATATGAGTTTGGATGGTCGAAGATAAAATGGTCTTGCAAGAATTTCACTTTGCCCGAATGCTTCGCGCACGGGCTAGACAAGTAAACAAGTGATGTCACGGACATGCGTAGTACGTTATTCAGCCCTGTCGTTGTGAACTTGAAAAAATGGCGGACATTTCACTCGTTACCCGGCCTTCCTTTCAGGAAGAGATGGGTATAGCTCTGGCCCCGGTTGGTCAAACGTTGGATAGCGCTATCCACCGGATAAATCACTATCCAGCGGATAAGTATTATGGAAACCAATTGCGCTATCCACTGGATAGAGATTTACCCGGTCGATAGCGCTATCCGACGTTTGAACAACCGGGGCCTGGGCTTGGTTTTTCCTTCGTCGTCGAATCGCCCTCTAGTCTTTAAAGCGCATGCCAGTACTGGCGGATTATCACGTGATCGATTTCCGGCAAGTTCATTGGCTTAGAGGCAAAATCACCCTGAGATGTTGTCGAGGACAAAAGGCAGCTTTTTTGTCGGTCCGGAGCGTTAATGTTGTGGTTTTGTTGCCTCTACGAGAGTTCGACAATTATTTTGGTCGAAACGTTTAGTGATATGTGTTGTCCAGAGGATAATGTATCCCGGAACTGTCAGACAAACACAGTGGCTCGATTCGTTTGATCGAGATCGGCGTTGCGATCGGCGATGGTTGCGAGAAGAAGACATGCGAAAAAGGTGGGTAATGTTTACTTTTTATGTTTAGTGCAAGTCACGAGAATTTATATAGCAGTTGAAGAAACACTATTGGGCTTTGTTTTGGCCTTCGCCGAAGGCGGACGTGTTCTTGCTAGCTTCTTTAGATGAAATTCAAAACTTGTAAAATAATGTAATCAACGAAGGCTGCTTGGCTTTCATTCGCTTAAATAACATGGGAAAAGAAGACGCCCGAGCCGATAGTCGTAAACGGTTAAGGGAAAGCGGCTCACAGACTGACGGGGAAGATGCGTTCGACGAAGCCGACGGCCATTGTCGTGGGGCTTCTGCCAAACTAGATGAAGTCAGTGAAAAGCTCGACAAAGTGCTGATAAGACTCGGCGAGTTAGAGGCTATGCAAGGTAGAGTGGCAGAACTGGAAAAAGAAAATAAAAATTTACAAGAAAGCCTGAACACCGCTCAAGCCGACATCGACGACCTAAATTCGTCTTCAACCGCCACGTGTGCAACAATGGAAACCCACGCAAAGAATCTGGAAGACCTCAGTGCTAAAATAAAACATCTTGAGTGCCGCAACATCAGGTTAGAAGCATACACAAGACGTGAAAATCTAAAAGTGTTTAATATTCCAGAAGGAAGAGGTGAGTCAACTTCTGCTGAAGATCAATTGAAAAAAGTGATGCGCGATAAACTTAAGATCCCAGAGGAAGATATCGAACAGATCCGTTTCGAACGCGTTAACCGCATCCCTACTAAGAAGAATACCAGTCAAGGACAGAACTCCAAACCTAGGCCTATTATTGCTAAATTTAGCTTCTTTCAAGACAAGGAGTATGTTTGGTCTTTTGTTAAAAACTTGAAAAACACTAACATTTCAATCGCGAATGATTTCCCCCGGG